TTTATTTTTCTTGTGGATATCTAATATTTCTGGCAGTCTTTGTTTAAAACAATTTCCATTCTTTCCAGAACTGCTTTGGTGCCTCTGTCGGCTGGTAAGTGAATGGGACTCTATTGTTGCTGCCTCTTCTGTTCTGTTCCACTTCTTTACCAATCCTTTGGTTTGAGTTTTATCTTTGAAGAGGCAGTTCACTCTATCCCAAGCTGGCCTCAAACTGGAAGTTCTCCTGCCTCAGCCTCCCAAGTGCTGGGATTATAAATGGGAGTTGTCTTAGCTGGTTTGATTTTGTCGATTTTTTGCCAATACCTCATTGTCCTAATTATCAAAACTTTGTAAGTCTTTAAGTTCTCCAAATTTCTTTTTCAAAACTGCTTTAAGTTGTATAGGTCACTTGCATTTCTATATAAATTTTAGAATTTATTGTTTGTTGATATGAAAAAAAAGATTCCTGGGCCAGCATGGAGGCACATGCCTGGAATTCGAGCACTTGGAAGATCCAGAGTTTCAGGCCAGCCTGAATTTTAAATTTTTCATATGAATAAACTTCAAGGCTCATAACAGAAAACCCCAAAACTCTACTGACATTATAATTAGGATTACATTAAATCTATAAATCTATAGATCTATTAACTCCATAGCAACCTCCTCCATTTCTTTTCTTTCTCTTTTGTGGTCCTGGCAATCAAACTGAAGGTCTTGAATATTCTAGGCAAGCATGCTCACACTGAGCTACATCCCCAGTTTTTCTTTAGGTCTTTTAAATTTTTCTCTCAAGCGGCGTGGTGGCACATACCTGTAGTCCCAGCACTTGGGAGGCAGAGGCAGGCAGATCTCTGTGAGTTCAAGGCCAACCTGGTCTATATAGTGAGTTCCAGGACAGCTTGGGGTACAGGGAGACCCTGCTTCAAAACGACAAAAAAAAGAAAAAAAAATTTTTTTCTCTCAGTGACGGTTTAGTTTTCAGTGTAAAAGTTTTGTACATCTTCTGCTAGGTTTATTCTTCATTAGTATTTTGTGATAGCATTATAAGTGGAAAAATTGTAATTGCCATTCTCCATATATTTTCTGGTAGTGAAAATGATTTCTATATATTGGTCTTCTATACCTATTCATTTTGACCATTACACTTTTGGAACAATATTTACGTGATTATGATTTTGATATACTGCTTGATGTAATTTGGTTTTTTTTTAAAAGAATTTTGGGGGCTGGAGAGATGGTTCAGTGGTTAAGAGCACCGATTGCTCTTGCAGAGGACCCAGGTTCAATTCCCAGCACCCACATGGAGGCTATGAACTGCCCTTAACTCCAGTTCCAGGGGAATGTGAAGCCCTCTTCTGACCTCTGTGGCATTGCACGACATGGGTGCACTCACATACATGCAGGCAATACCATCATACACATAAAATAAAAAAATAAAAATAATAAAAAGAATTTTCCTGTATAACCTGAGGGATACTGATCTGTATGTATTGTTTTCTCTTGTGATGACTCTGTAAAGTTTTGGTGTCAGAGCTCTGCTCTCTGCATCAGAGTTGAAAAGGCATTTCCTTCTCTCTGAAAGTCTGAACTATTGCAGCCTTTCTTAAAAGTTGATAGAATTCCTTTGGTACTAGACCCCATAGGTTACTAAGGATCCTGTCACTTTCTTCCACAGTTTGCTTTCTCTCCAGTTTTATTACGAATGTCTTCTATTATTACATGTTTAGGACTGATTGTTTTCTAGTGCCGTAGCCTTCTGTTAATGCTATATAGTGAGTTTTTTGCATCAGATATTTTTTAGCTCTAAAATCTCCAAATAATTTTCTATCAACTGTCCACTGAGTATGTTTTGCTGACTGATCTTTTGGTTATAAGCCAAATTTTCTTTGTATTTGTACTTGTCTAGTAATATTTATTTCCCTAATTGAACATTAAGCACTGTGAATGCTAAACCAAATGTTTGGATTTTGTTCTCTTCTGTAAAAAGCATGGAATTGTGGCAAGTAATTAAATTACTTATAGATAAGCTTAATCATTTACATTTCTAGGGAATTCTCTTAAAACGGGTTCTACACTAGCCTTTACACCAAGGATAATTTAGCTGTAGTGCTTAAGTACAAGATTTTTGTTGACCCGTGTTATCAGGGGTTTCTCTTACCTCAGCTGGTCAGAAACTGAATGTAGTGGATCCCTTTGTAAGCACTAGGAATTATTCAGCTTGCTGCTAGCTGGGTAGTTTCTGCCTAGATTCACATTTACACTTTGCACATGTGTAATTTAATTTTCAGCAAGGGCACACAACAGTCCCTATGCAGACTTCTGTAGACTTTACTATATAGCTCTGTCCTTGGTGGAATTCTGTCTTCTAATTTTCAGATTCCTCAAACTTTCATTTCTATCTTCTCAACTCAGTGCTATTGCTTGTGTACCTCTAAGCAAAAGGCAGAAAGGGGATATGAAAGTAATCAAATCCCACCTCTCAGAGATCATGATTATGTGCTTCTATTGTTCAATATTTGAAACCAGTTACATTATGTATTTTGCCTAGGTTTTCACTGTTTATGCAGCAAGACTAAATTCAGTCTGTTAGGCTTTAATGGGTCAAAGCAGATCTATACATAATATTCTGCAAGTTGACCTTTTTACTAAGGTTCATCATGGTTATTATTCCACATTCTCTCAAACACATAGTATTTTAGAGAATAGACATTTAAGGATTATCTTCAATATTCTAAACAACTAACAGTAAAACTAATCTTAACTCATGACTTCTTGTCCATGTGTATAAATACTTCTGCATTTCATAAGCTTTCAAGAGAATAGATACTGGTTTTATACATCTCTCCCCATTTCCTCTCCTTCTTCCTCATATCATGACTGACTCAAGCTGTACTATACAATGTTTTTTTTTTTTGGTCTTTTTAAAATGAGACAGGGTCTCTCAGTAGCCCCAGCTGGCCTGGAACTCACTATGTAGACCAGACCAGGCTGGCCTTGAACTCACAGAGATACGCCTGTCTCTGTCTCCATGTGCCACCACACCCGGCTTACAATGGTTATTAAACATTTGCCAAGTATAACACTTAAACTTGGGGTGGGTAGATGACTCAATGGATAAAGAACTTGCCAGTTCTTTGCAAGCATAAGAACTGGAAGTAAGAGGCCTAGTACTTTCGTAAATGCTGGGTGGAAATGGTGGCCATTCTGTAATCCCAGCCCCTGGGAGGCAGAGACAGACAGAATCCCTGAAGTAAGCTAGCTACTGGACTGGCCCAAACAGTGGGCTCTGTGCTCAAGTACAAGACCATACCTCAGTATGTAAGGTGGAGAGTGACTGAGGAAGGCATCTGCTATGAAACTCTGGCTTCCTCACAAGCACCAACACACATAAGCAAACACACACATGCACGCACACCACTTACCATACAAGTAAAATAAAATAAAATTCAAGGTGCTGGGTGTGGTGGCACATGCCTTTAGTCCCATCCTTTAATCCCAGCATTCAGGAGGCAGAGGCAGGCGGATCTCTGTGAGTTCAAGGCCATCCTGATCTACATAGCGAGTTCCAAGCTGGCTGGGGCTACAGGGAGACCCTGTCTCAAAAAGACCAAGAAAATAAAAATAAAAAAATAAAATTCAAGGTAAAGATTGCTAGCACTAATAACAAATGTTTACCTTTATTCTTTAGTTTTACAAAGGGTTTTAATCCACTTGACAATGAATTAGAATGTTCTCAGATTTAATTTGTAATTAACATTGCTCTGCTTGTTACTTATTTTATTATTAAAACTTTGTCTTAAATATACTTTCTTGGCTTGGCAGTGCTGGGAATCAAATCAGGACCTCCCACATGCTAAGCAAAACTTAACCACTGAGCTATAGTACCAGTTTTAAATAATCCTGTGCCTGTACTGAAAATTCTCTCAAACTTATCTCAACATAAATGGAGTATAAATATTGAAAAGATATCATACTATTTAAAATGTGACATGATATGTAAGTAAAAAATTTTATAGTATTCTTTAAAAAGGCTTGAGGTTTTAGTATTCAAAATTAAGGCAAATGAAAATTTAAGACATAATTTTAAAAATTCACTTGCGCCGGGCATGGTGGCGCATGCCTGTAGTCCCAGCACTTGGGAGGCAGAAGCAGGTGGACTTCTGTGAGTTCAAGGCCAGCCTGGTCTACATAGTGAGTTCTAGGACAGCTGGGGCTACAGGGAGACCCTGTCTCAAAAAGACAAAAAAAAAAATTCACTTGCAAATTCAAGGGAAATAATTCAAGCTATCAGTCTAATGTGAAACTATTGAGGTGGGGGCTGGAACGATGACTCAGCAGTTAAGAGCAATAGCTGCTCTGGTTCAGTTTCCATAATCCACACGGTGGTAAACAACAGTCCATAACTCCACTTCTAGGGGATCCACACCTTTGTCTGGTCTCCACAGGCACTGCACATGTGGGGTGCACTTACACACATGCTGGCAAAACACTCATACATATAAAAAGATAAATTTTAAAAAAAGATGCTAAGAAATTAAGAGGGAATGGTGGGACATGGGAGGAGCTGTTGGAAGACTGGGAAGGATGGAAATAATACAAAGACAATATTCATGCATGAAATTCTCAAAGATAAAAATATTAGAATTAAAAAATTTCGATTTCTATAAAAAAAAACTCACATTTAGAAACCAACTTTCTATTGACTGTAAGAATCTCTTCTACAAAAGACCGTAAACAAGCATTTTTGGTTTTTTTTTTTCTTTTTTTGGTCTCTATGGACAGGGTCTCCCTTTAGCCCCAGCTAACCTGGAACTCACTATGTACAGCAGGCTGGCCTTGAACGCAGAGATCTGCCTGCCTCTGCTTCCCAAGTGCTGGGATTACCATTGTTCTTAAATGCTCAAAAGCAAAACAAGTCATTTCCCCCTCCCCCAAGCTAACTGTAGAAATTATTCAGTTTCTTAATAGATCAACTTTTGACTAAAGTCTATTAATAATATGAAATATTTTCTCCGTACCTGGTTACAAGTATCAGATAATGAGTGTATAGCTTCTGAGAACATGCTTGCTGAACCCGTATAAATCCAGGCAAGAAATTTAAAGAAACAGTTTAAACCATTGCTGGAGAGAAAGAAAAAAAAAGTTTGTATTAAAAATTTCCATCAAAAACTTATTTAACTGATTTTATACTAGATCCTGTTAAAAGTAAAAGAATCGAGCAAAGCGTGGTGGCGCACGCCTGTAGTCTCAGCACTTGGGAGGCAGAGGCAGGCGGATCTCTGTGAGTTCAAGGCCAGCTGGGTCTACATAGTGAGTTCCAGGGCAGCTAGGACTACTGGGAGACCCTGTCTCAAAAAAGACCAAAAAAAAAAAAAAAAACAGTAAAAGAATCTGCTACTTACTGTTCAGGTATAAATGTGAAAAATATAGATTATGGTACTAAGTACTCAAAGAGGCAATGCTATGTGCTGAAGGCTTTTTCTTTTCTTCCTGATACTGTATATACCATCTTCCAGCTAAATTTTTTTTTGGGGGGGGGTCTTTTTGAGACAGGTTCTTCCTGTAGCCCCAGCTGGCCTAGAACTCATAGAGATAGTACTGCCTCTGTCTCCTGTGTGCTGGACTCCATCATGCCTGGCTTGCCAGGTCATCTTAACTACTTCTATAGCTTTAATTATCACCTGTAGACTAATACCAGATGACCCTGAATTTCTAGCCTATATTTCCTCCTCAGCTTCTGACCAATCCACATAACAATAATCCTTAAGTACATGTTATAGCCCAGGTGCTATGCTAACTGGTCTATATATGTTGCACATGTTCCTCTAACAAGTCAGAGTAGAATTATTATCCCTATTTTGTTGGCAAAAAGAACTAGTCCTGGGGCTGGAGAGTTAGCTCAGAGGTTGAGTACTTGCTACTCTTGCAGAGGACCTGTTCTTAGCACCCACATGGTGGCTAACAGTTGGCTGTAACTCCAGTTCCAGGGGATCTGATGCCCTCTTCTGGTCTCTGTGGGCACTGCATACATAGGTACACATATACATCCAGGAAAAACATACATACACATAGAAAAAAAAAAGAATGAATCCTATTGGCCACCTCCTCATAGACACCCCATAGACACCTTGAACTAAAACACAAAGATCATTTTCTCTCCTCCTGCCCTGCCCTGTTCTGGTGCACCTCTAAGTGAATGATGCAATATTTATCAATTATCCAAGCCAGAAGCCTGGGCACCAGTCTTGACAATACTTCTAAATACTTCTTGAACCATTCTGTGTCTATCTGCCTCACCCACTGTCTTAATTAGATATCGTCTTCCCTATCTTTATTGTAAATGCTTCCCTTGATTCTAGAGCCCCTCCAAGCCTTCAAGGATCACGTATCATATATTTCCACTGCCTATCATAATTTCTGATGTGTATTTTTTATAAGAATTACAGAATCAATGCATTTAGATAGGGTAAAATGGATTAATTAACAAAATGGATAAAAAGTAAAACAGGAATCAAGAAGCCAAAGGAAAAAAAGGTAAGTTACAAAAACATCAAGTATGTTCTTCCAAAATGGGAGAAAAACGGGCTGGAGAGATGGCTCAGTGGTTAAGAGCACTGACTGCTCTTGCAGAGGACCCGGGTTCGATTCCCAGCACCCACATGGCAGCTACAAACCATCCTTAACTCCAGTTCCAGGAGAATCCGAAGCCCTCTTCTGACGTCCATGGCATTGCAAGACATAGGTGCAGTCACACACACGCAGGCAACACATTCATACACATAAAATAATAAAATATTTAAAAAAAAAAAAGGGAGAAAAATACAAGCACAAATATATTCTTTAGTAACTAAGTTAAGGTTGGCCTAGGTAACACTGACCATTGTAACTTTTCTTAAAAATTATTTATGTAATAACCACATGATTAGAAGAAGCATTTCATTACAGCTTTAACACATTCACTAATAATTTCCAAAGATGCATCTCTTTCAATATTGGCTGTAAACTTTTAAGTCCACAGTTGAATTAATACAGTTATACAATATTGTACTCAGTATAAACCCTGTAAGACATAAAATTGAATGAGGGTTTTAATGAGTTTTTAACCTTTAAAAAAGATCTCCATTTCATTTAAAATATGCTGTTTCCTACAGACTCATTTGTTTTTAATGCTGCTAACAGATGTTTGCACACATGTCTCTAATCTCTATGTATCTGATTATTACTAGTCACAGTCGGTTACTTTCTGAGATCCACCTGAGCATGGATATAAAATTGTGTAAATTTCAATGGTAATGCATTTCACCTCTACTAACTAACATGGAGCAAATTTTTATGCTTCTTCCTCAAAAACTCATTTTTTTGTTTTTTTGTGTGTATATGCAGAACATCCCAAACAACCTTATTAATCTATATACCAACATCCCAAATGGCACCCTCCCATGGCCTCCACCCCCTCCCCCCACCACTGGAGCCCCTATACTCTGTAATCCCTATTCTGTCCACTGTGTTGTCAGTGCCCCCAGCCATTCCCCAGTGCTTGTCCATCTACTGAATCTAGTCAGACTATCTTGAGTTCCGTCTTTTAGGAAGATCAGCTGTTCCTCATCTAGCAGCAAGCAGTTGCCAATATTCCTTTAGATAGGATTGGGGTCTGCTGTTCATTTTCCCAGTTCTATGCTGGGTTATTGTCTGTCTGAGTTTGTCTGGGACTTGTGTATGCAATTACCATTGCCATAGAACCATACGAACAGGTTCCCAGGAGCCTGTAGGACTCTGTTTCTATATGATCATACATCTCCTCCCTGGCTTACAATCTTTCCACCCTCTCTTCTGCAATAGTCCCTGAACCTTGGATGGGAGAAGTTTAATAAAGGGAATCCTGTCCAAGGACCAGCATTCAGCAGACTCTTGATCTCTGCCCTTTGGCTATTTGTGAACTTTTGTGTTCCTGGCACTCCACTGCATGAAGGACCTTCATCAATGGGAACTGAGAGATTCATTAGTGTCCTCTTCTTTACTGCTGTTCTATGCTCCATGAGCCTTAAGTGTAGAGGTTGCATTGCAGATGTGTCATTTTGGCCTGAGCAATTCATAGACAATGTTCAAGTGTAACCTCTGACTTGTACAAAATGAGCTTCTTTGATCAGTGGTGACTGGGATATTTTTCTGTAAATATAAGTATACATATTTTTCACATAGCAAGAAATCACATTAGTCTAATGATTTCACAGTCTTGGGGTTTTATCTAAGGTATATGGCCACTCCAGCCATGTGTATTAGATTATGTTTACATTACCTCAAGATATATTATATTCCTTGAGCTGGTGGATGTATAATTTGTCAGTAGGTTGTTCAAGTAATATGGTTCACTGTGTCTTTTTAAAAGACAAATTTGACAAACTTTAATATTTTCAGGAAGAAACTAAGATCTTAACCACATCAAAAATATACAGAGCCCAAATATGAATGTCTATATGGACTCATACACTTCTCCCATCATTTCATTACCATGATATAGACTCAACTTTCTCCTAAAAGCTATATGCTTCTAACTCTGCAGCTAGTTACCAAGTAACAAATTAATATACTGAGGGACAAACAGATTAAAATGCATATGTATCTAGAACTGGAGAGACGGCTCAGTACTTAAAGAGCACCTGCTACTCTTGCAAAGAACCTGGGTAAGTTCCTAGCATTCACATGGCAGCTCACACCATATAACTCCAGTTCCAGGGGGTCTGATGCCCTCTTCTGGCCTCCGCCAGCACCACATGCACGTGGTACACTTAACAAATATACATAAAATATTTTAACGTATTTTTTTTTAAATGTGTATGTATTTTAATTTTGTTTTTCCAAAACTTACATGCAAATGGCAACCATCACCACCTTTCCTGGTCCCTTAAGGAATACTGATGCTGTCCTGGAGCGTGGCTGTAAGATTAAAAACAAAAACTTCAAAATTTCCCAGAGAAGCACTATAACAAATGACCCTGACATAGCAGATTTCCTTTCTATCAAAACCTCTGAGTATCTATGCTTCCCTTTAAAGCCTTTTTTCCTTTTTTTATTTGTCTTTCTGAGACAGAGTCTCTCTGTAGGAACTCACTATGTAGACCAGGCTGGCCTTGAACTCACAGAGATCCGCATGCCTCTGCCTCCCAAGCGCTGGGATTAAAGGCGTGCGCCACCATGCCCAGCAAAATCCTTTTTATCCAAAATTTCCTTTTTAAAAAGTGTGTACATGGAAAGGAAAATGCATTTGGGCATTCTTCAAAATTATCAAATGTTAATTTTGTCCCTTTGTAATTCATGTCCTCCCTACTTCCAGAAAAGATCTGAGATGGCTACACAGAAACTAAAAGAGGTGCAATCACGAAAAATCTGTAAGAAGCATGTTTGAGCCAGAGTGTGCAGCAAGTTCAAAGAATCTGAATCAGAAATAGGCTTCATATACATAAAGGACAAAAGTAGGGCCACTGTGGCTGAAGCCCAGAGAGCAAGAAAAATGGCAGGAAGTGAGAAATGAGAAGGAGGGAGGGAAAGAGGCAGGAAGAAGAAAAGGGAGGGAAGGGGAGGGGAGGGGAGGGGGGAAGCATTCAAACAAGCAGGCTGAACCACTGGAAGCTGGCTAGTGATTTGATGGGGTTGGGCTTTGTGTCAATGGAAGTGCAATGCCTGGGAAGTAGTAATGGAATGAGGTATGATCCAGCATGAGTTTTAAAGAGTTTCCCTTGAGGGGGAAGAATGAATGAGTATGAATAGGAATGCAGGGGGCATGCCCCACAGGACTTGGAGACTGTATTAAGAAGCCTGACATTTTACTCTACTGGCAGAAAGAAACCACTGAACAATTTTACACAGAATTGGCACAGTCTGAGTTATGCTTTAAAAAGTTAGTTTATGATCTGATATGAGAAAACACAAGTGATGAACTGGAAGGGTATTCTAGGTAAGAGATGCTAGTAGCTCAGATTAGGCTAAGGCGTCAATAAAGGACACAGGTGGGCATGGTGGTGCAATGCTTTAATTCCAGCACTCAGGAGGCAGACTCAGGCAGATCTCTGTGAATTTGAGGCCAGTCTGGTCAACATAGCAAGTTCCAGGCCAGCTGTGGCTACAGGGAGACCCTATCTCAAGGTGGGGAGCGGTGAACACCCCTATCAAGGTGGGGGGCGGTGAACACAGTAAGAGGCAGCCACATTAGGGATATGCTTTATAGAAGATGCCAGTGGGTCATGCTAATGAATTTAAAGTATAGAAGGGCCCATAAAGAAACTAATGGGGGCTGAGGAGTTGGCTTAGTGAGTAAAGTATCTGCTTATGTAAGCATTAGCCCCAAGTTCAGATCCTTAGAAACATGTAAAAAAGCTGGTGGAGGGAATGTGCACTTAGGAAGCAGACACAGAAAGATGCTTGGAGCTTACTGGCTAGGTAGTCTAGCCTAATGAGTAAGATCAGGTTCAGTAAAGGACCCTGTCAAAATATAAGCTGGGGAACTGGAGAGATGGCTCAGCAGTTAAGAGCACTAGTACTGGCTGCTCTTGCAGAGGACCCAGGTTCAGTTCCCAGCATGTACAAAGTGGCTAGAAACCATATGTAACTCCAGTTCCAGGAGATCTGATGCCTTCATAAGCACTGCACACATGCGGTATACTTACATACATGCAAGTAAAATATTCATACACATAATATTTTTTTTAAAAGGTAGGAGAGCAATAGAGGAAGACACCTGATGTCAATCTCCAGTTTCTCCCTGTGCATATAGATGCATATACCACCTCCTTACCATGAAAAATAATCTCTAATATTTGAAAATTAGATAAATAAGTAGAGCCCTCTGAAAAGCAGACTGAGGAAGAAAAATTCATGAAGAGAAAAATACAAGAGAAAGATGGTCTTGGGCTCCTAGGAAACAAGGTCCACTAAAGAAACTGCTACTGGTGGTAAGCATTTGAACGTCCTCCCTTCTCTCATCCCCCTAAGAAGGGATTCCCCTCCCCCAGTTGCTGACCTTTGTATACAACCCCTTCCTCCTCCTACTGCCCTCTGGAGGTTGACTAAATTTAGTGATGTAGATACACTGGAAAACCTGTAAGAATGCTGGGCATGCTTAGTTGGAAAGTTGGATACAAAATTTGGTAAGTCCAAATAAGAAGTCATCCGGGAGGCAAAGAGTTGAGACAGGTTCTTGCTATGTGGTTCAGGCTGCCCTTGAACCTGCCACCTTCCTGCCTAAACCTCCCAAGTACTGGACCTCATGACATGGGGTTTATACTCTCGTGCAATAGGTGAAAAAAAAATGAGTGAAATTTGAGGTTTTTATGGGATATTAAACGAGACTTTGTTCTTTGTAAGTTACCACAGCTGATGGTAATTTTGTCCCTCTTGCTGGCCACAACAGGTCTTGAAGAGCTGAAGTGTAATTTGAACTTGTACTTTACACATGCAGTAATAAACACAACTTTGACTGATAGTGCAAAAATAGCTGAAGTGAGATTTCCAGTTTTAAGTGGTAGGATAGCAAAACAGTACAATTTTGTTTATCTGTGTGGTTTTGCTGTTGTATTTTTCTGGCACTTTGTTTTGTTTCAAGCTAGCTCTACAGCCAAGAAATTTAAATATCTAAATTCCACACGGATCACAGAGGAAAGAAGTAGGCTTCTGCCTTCAAAGGTCAGGCCTTGAAATACAGTCCAAAGTCAGTTGCCCCTAGGTTTATGCTGAATGGCCTTTGGGGCAAGAAAAAGAACTATGCAGAAACAAGCCTGGCCCATGAAGCTTCAACTTGAAACCAAATTTGTAAGCTATAAAATCTGACCATAGGTCTAGATTTCTGAGATCTCCTGTTTACTGATATAGAGCCTACATAATTTCTTTCTTTTTTTTTTTTTTTTTGGTCTTTTTGAGACTGGGGCCTGGGGAGAATAAAAGTTGTACAGAATAGTCCCTGAAACAGAAGGGAGAATGACGAAGATGTAGAACATAAATAGCCCAGCAAAGGTCCAAGGAATAGCAGTTCTCATTGTGGAGTTTCAAGAGGAGGTAATCAGAAACACATGGCTCTGCGGAATAGAAACATACTCCTCAAATAGTAGTGACTCCATTAGCAGAGCATATGCTGAGGAGGTGGAAAGTAAAGATTTCTTTAGAAGAAAGGTATGTGAATTTATGGGAAGGTTGAGACACAGAGGGAAAAGATATAAGATCTTTAAAATTAGAATGGAATGTAATAATTATAAAAACATTTACTGAACACTGCTCTGTTGAAAGGTGTAGTAAAGAGGGAAACATGTTGTTTTAACCAAATCAATGACAAGGCTCAAAGAAATCTAATGGAAAATCAAAATCTGGAAACGTGAGATCACAGGGAGCCAAGATCCACAGACCTCTTTGAAGGATCCTGTAAACGCTGCCCATAAAGTCTCAATACAAGAGTCAGAAAACTGCAAGTTTTTAAAGATCGGGATGACAAAAGGATGGTGATTACTGAAGCTGGATCTCCAGAATGCATTTTTGTATATATTTGAAAATTTTCACAATTAGCAGGTTACATTTGTATATTGGTACACATATAAAAAATAGGCCCTGTCTCAAAAAAGACCAAAAAAAAAAAAAATTATGATGAGCCAGGCGTGGTGGCACACGCCTTTAATCCCAGCACTAGGGAGGGAGAGGCAGGCAGATCTCTGTGAGTTCAAAGCTAGGCTGGTCTACATAGTGAGTTCCAGGACAGCTGGGGCTACAGGGAGACCGTTTCAAAAAAAAAAAGAGGGCCTATGAAATGGCTGATCGGGTATAGGTGCTTGCTGCCCAGACTGACAACCTGAGTTTGATTCTCCAGAATCCACATAGTGGAAGGAAAGAACAGACAGCAAGCTGTCCTCTGACTTCCACAGAAGCACCATGGCACATGTACACACGCACACTAGATAAATAAATGTAAAAAAGACAGATGTTGCCAGGCGTGGTGGCGCACACCTTTAGTGGCAGAGGCAGGTGGATCTTTGCAAGTTCAAGGCCAGCCTAGCCTACATAGTAAGTTCCAGGCCAGCTGGGGCTACAGGGAGACCCTGTCTCAAAAAAGACCAAAAATAAATTTTTTTAAAAAGACAGACGTTAGAGAGGACTACCAGGAAAAGCAGCAAAAATTATTCAAAACACCACTCGTTCATTTCAATGTGATACTATTACTGTGGAGCTAAACTTACCCAGCAGAGAGAGGTACAACTAGTGTTCAAAAAGCTTTCCTAAGAAATTCACAGAATAAGGATCCCAAGGGAAGGCACAAGGAAGTAGAAAATATTAAGGGGAAAATGCATTAAATGGACACTGAAAAATTAATTACCAGAGGGTGAACTATTCCTCTGATGAGAGAATGCTTTTGGCAGACCAAGGACATTTTGACTTCCTCTCTGTGAGAGTTCCCATGAGATAAAAAGAGTGTAGGGGAAAAAAAGTGTTTGTGTCAGAAGTAAAAGATATAAAGAAGGCACTTAATTCCAGCATGCAAGACTAGTCCTTTATGTTTTTAAATTTTTTAAAAATTTTATGTGTATGAGTGTTTTGCTTGCATGTATGCAACTGCATCGTGCAAGCAATGCCTGAGGATGCCAGAAAATGGTGTCACATCCTCTGGAACTGGAGTTGTTAGCTGCCATGTGGGTGCTGGGAATCAAATCCGTGTCCTCTGTAAGAGCAGCCAGTGCGCTTAACTGATGAGCCATCTCTCCACCCCTAGTCCTATGTTTTAAAAAAAGCAACTGCCTTCAGTGGGAAAGAAAGCACTCCTAAAAGGAACAGAATAGCAGAGAGAAATAAAATACTGACTTTATTCTATTATTATACAAATAAAGGGGCAGAAACTAACAGAAAGACATCTTACCTACAGCCTAGAATATTCCAAAGTCCCCAGATTTTAGAAGCTGTCCACTAGTAGCATCTGGTGAGATGACCGTAAGAACAGATACAAGGGCTAGGAATCACTTCTCAGGAAGCAAATGTCATGAGCCCAAGCTATTACCCACCAAAGGCAGTGACAGTCACCTTTCCAGCTCAGGAGAAATTCTAGTTCACAAGACATGAGAAGAGACTACCACCTACAAACTGTACCTTCAGTACTGTAGTCACACAGAGCTCAAAGAAGAACCAGATGAATGGGAAAGAGGAGCATCTCAAGATTTAATTTATAATCATCAACTCTGGCTAATTCTAAACTATGTGAAAAGAGTGAAGTCTCAGATGCTGTGAAGAGAAAAGACAATATGCATAGCTTGCCTTGCCCCAGACCTGGCATTAGCTTTGTTTGCTTGTCTGTTTGGAGAAAAGGCCTTACTTTGTGGCCCTGATTGGCTCTAATTTGTGGTAATCCTCCTGCCTCAACATCCCAAGTGCTGGGATTACAAGTATGAACTACTACAGCCAGCTATGGCATTAACTTCTCTTTCCCTCATTCCTTTGGGGGCTCCCTCGTCCCGTTCACCCCACCCCCACCCCCACCCCCATGTCTGTGTTTCTTCTAAGACAGGGCCTCACTATGTAGTCCTGGCTAGTCTGGACCTCATTATATAGGTCAGGCTATTTTTGAACATGAGGTGATCCTCCTGCTTCTCTGCCTTCTGAGTGCTGGTATGAAGAGGCCATGAGCCACCATGCATTTGGTATTATTTCTTGATAGAAAGCCCTCTCTCAGGCAAGTTTAAATGGAAAGTCTACTCTGGACATAGACAGTTTGGCATCTTAATCTTAGAAGTCTTTGTGACTTTGATAGGAGCCATTTCAGTGGGATAAAAGCAGAAATGAACTGAATTTAAGAGACAGAGGAGGTAGGATACAGAGTGAAAATTTTCTTTATTTCTCCCAAGATTAATTCTTTCTCATAGAAAGGGTAGTATTTAGACACAAGTGTAGATAAAAATCTGTATATCTGGTAACGAAAAAATGAGGTACTTTTACCAAATTACAAATGGTCTTTGACTTACAGGATTAGGCCCCTATAAACCCATTACAAGTTTAAAACATTGTAAGATGAAAATGCAATCAAAACATTAACGTAACCACTTAATCACAGTTTAGGCTAGCCTACTTTACATGAATTCAGAACACTTAGATTAGCCTAGAATTAGACAAGATCATCTAACACAAAGCCTACTTTATAGTGAAGTGCTGACTACCATTTATTGAAGACTGTACTGAAAATGAAAACCAAAAGGGTCATATGCACATGTTTGTACCCATCATCAAGTCAGTAAATTTAAGCTGAACCATTTCAAGTCAGAAACCATTTGAATTTTTTTTTTTTTTTCCCATTTTAGTATGAGGCAAGGTCAATAGCTGAAAGGTTCAAAAATAAGGTTACTGAAGTTTTGGGATGGGGAAAAGGTTCTACAAAAGCTATTTTACACAGTAAGATCATGTACTATGGTTTAACAAGACCATCAAGCCTTACTAATAATGAACATGTACTGATTCTATATAGCCAAATAACAAAAAACAATCAAGGTGGCTGCGCAGTTTTCTCTTCCAAGGGATGAGCTTTGTGTGCAAAAGCAGAGAGCCAGCAGTCTCAATGTTTAATCAGAATTAGAGGAGTGAAGATGAAGGAAATTAAGGGTATAGATGAGAGACTGAAAATCTTGCTAAAGCCTAAGAAAATAGGTTTTATTTTTATGTGCTTAAGAATCCTAGAAATTCATGCAAAAACAATTTTGTTTTTAATTTTCAAGATAACTAGACAGAAACGAATAGATGACGATTCAGTAAACTACAATGTGCTCAAGAAAAGGCTTAAATCAGAATACAGGCATGCTAGAAATTCACAGTGTATTGAGGAGTCTGTCAAGTAACACACACACACACACACACACACACACAATTTACAAGATATCCTTACCTTGGTATTTCCCAAGAAATCACCATATTCTCTTAGTATCTTTTGGTTTCTAAACAGTCCTACAGGAAATGGAAGATAAATTTGGGTCATACATATTCTTACCCATTGGTTTACAATAGCATAGCTATTCTCTTTAAGACTACGTTAAATGGCCAAGGATGCATTTCAATTGGTAGAGTGACTGCTAACATGCACAAAGTTCAGTTTCCAGCATCATATACACCAGACAAGGTAGCACACACAGGTAATCTCAGCATTTGGGAGGTAGAAGCAGGAGGATGAGGAGTTCAAGTTCACCTCTCAACTACATAGCAAGTTTGAGGTTAGCTTGGGTTACATGACACCCTGTCTCAAAAAAAAAGAATGTATTAATTAGATTTCTATTTGCAGATATGGAAAAATAGGATTACAATGGTATAAATGAAGAGCAAGATGACCAAGCATATGCATAGTGTCTTCTCATTTATATTAAGTTAAAACTTGTGAGTAGAGGGGCCTAGAGAGATGGCTCAACAGTTAAGGGAGCTAGCTGCTCAATCATGAACCAGAGTTTAGATCCCAGCACTACCACCTACATCAGGCAGGTCACTAATGCCTGTCTAACTCCAGCTCTATGGGATCTGCTGCCTTCTTCTGCCTCTGTGGGCACCCACGTGTGCACACACTTACACAGACATGCACAAATACATAAAAAAATAAATATCTAAAAATGCTGTGTATATAAATTTTAAAATGTACTGGATATATACCAAATTATCAGTAACGAAATAGCATTTCAGAAAATGAAAGGAAACTTACTACTCTTTGCATTTCTGTATTCTTTGTGTTGTGGTATTGGAGATCAAATTACATTCTTTTCTAAGTCACTAATATATACACTTTTGGCACAAAATGTAAAACACATTTTACATCACCCCAAATCTACTAACTTTAAACTACTGAACACAGTTCCCTGAGATTCTTACTCATGTTGAAAGTTTGATAATATCTGCTGAATAAATGAAGGTTGTGGCTGAACAAAGCAGGATCTGTCCAACACTTTTATAGTAACTACAATCTTTAAATCAAGTCTTAAGTGTTAAAGGTGTATGTCTAACAGAAGCTACAAACTGGTTTTAGTTCCTCTTATCATCCTAGAAAGTTATCAAGGAAAAAAAAAAGCCAAATGAACAAATTAATTCTGTTTTTAAATAAAATAATGCCCAAAGTGAAAAGAGGTGCTTGCTAGAACCAACAGAGCCAGGCCATTAGGCATGTAAGTGCTGCAGGATATGGGGCACAGTTCTTACCTACATGTTATTTTCCAATGAACTCCACTTTAAATTAAGAATACTTACGTTCTCTGTATTCTATTTCTGCTTCTCTGCGTAATTTTTTCTCTCTGGCAAGAGCTTCAAGGCTTCCCCAAACTTCCAGAGCTCTGTGCATACATAAACACATGCATTGTTACCACCAATGAACAATTTTAATTACTTTGTTATAATTACATTTAAACATAAAAGAACTATAACTTCATGAGAATCTTACAAAAAGTGTAAGATCTTTTCAGAGAAATATAAAGCACTTAAGAAACTTCTGAATTAAAATCTAAGCAATATGAGTAAACTCATTAGTAAATAAATAAATTTTCTTATAAATAATATATTTGCCTAACAAGTACACATGAGAACAGATTGCAAATAAGGAAGCACTGTTTTAGGGATGTGTCATTTTAAAGATTTTGTTTAAAGTGTTTTATAACCCCAAACTCAGTATGCATCTCTACAGTGAAATAATGATGCTCTTACTTTGCTTCCACATCTGATCTCAAGAATACAGTAAAGGAGTCAGTATCATCATGGGGACTTCGTCGTCTGATTTTTCGAAGTTGTTCTAGATCACTGGAGAAATAAAGATGTTGAACTTATTCAGACAACACATATAGCGTACAGATTAAGGGCAGTACACAACTACATTGATCCCTATCTTAAAAAGAACATATCTGTAACAGCTTCTAAAGATCAGTTTAAAGATGACATTTTTTTAATGGAAAAAATAAAAGTTTGGAGTAGTGCAGAGAAATGATCATTGATGATAAGTACCATGCTGTTCAGAGAGACCCAACTCCCCTATGGCCATGCTCTCCTGGATTGCTGGATCTCATCTAATCCCAGACACTAAGCAGGGCCAGGCCTGGTTAGTACTGGGATAGGAGGTTCAACTTCCTTATTGGTACATGTATTTTATTTGCTATGGGCACAACCACTGTTATTTTTAATATATGAAAAACAGTTAAAGTTAGAATATAAGAGATTATTTATTTATTTATTTATTTAGGTCTTTTTGAGACATGGTCTCTCTGCAGCCCCAGCTGGCCTAGAACTCACTACATAGACCAGGTTGGCCTCGAACTCACAGAGATCCGCCTGCCTCTGCCTTCCAGGTGCTGGGATTAAAGGCATGTACCACGATGCCACACTCAAGAATCATTTTTATTTAAAATTTTAAATAAGGGCCAGCAAGATGGCTCAGCAGGTAATGGCAAAGCTATCATATGATTACATGCTATTTATTTTGTTTTGTCTTAAATTTTGCAAACTTTATATACTTACCAAGTCACTATCACATAGGTATTTTATATTTAATCATTGGTTTTTCTACAGAAATTTCTGTGACAGCAATTGAAGATTACTTTTATACTAACCTAAAAATTAATTAAAAAGATAAAGGGACATATTATTTATATAAGGTATACTACTACAGTTTCTAAAATTATTGTACCTTAGCCGGGCATGGTGTCACACGCCTTTAATCCTAGCACTTTGGAGGCAGAGGCAGGCAGATCTCTATGAGTTTGAGGATAGCCTGGTTTACATAGTGAGTTCCAGGCCAGCTGAGGGTTACTGGGAGACCCTGTCTCAAAAAGACAGATGATAGATAGATAGATAGACAGACAGACAGACAGACAGACAGACAGACAGACAGATAGATAGAGTAAAATTACCGTACCTGGATTTAAGACAGAACTCATTTATCGCCCTTACTCCAGTGATGAAATTATTCTTAGTGTATTTTGATCCATACTCCCTCTTCTTAAGGACTGCTTTGACTAAGCCAGAAACAGAAGAAAATATGTAAGTATGCAGACTCAAAGTCTTATTTACAGATAAATATATGTTGAATTCCACAGAAAGTTGGGTTTTTTTTCCTGACACATAAAATGTTATCAGGGAAAAAGATATATCTTTCCAAGCACTGAATAGGATGGAATGACACTTAGAATCACCTAACTTTTATTTCCATAGTTCCTCTATACTTAATGCAAACATGCCAACCTTCCATCTAATGGACATCTTGTATCAGTATTGCTGTTCTGTTTAAATCAAAACAATTTAAAGTTGCCAGAGGTCTAACTGAAAATTAAATTTCAAAAAATAATTTCAGAGTAGTTCAGTGTTTTTCAAACTATGGAGTAAAACCAACATTCTATAAAAAGTCAAAATAGAAAGTAATCAAAGAATGCTGAATTGGGGCTAAAGAGATGGGTCTGTGGTTAAGAGCATGTGTAGCTCTTGCAGAGGACCAGGATCTGGGTCCCATCAACCACAAGATGGCTACCAAACATCAGTAACTCCAGTTTCAGGGCATCTGAAATCCTCTTTTGACCACCACAGGCACTGCATGCACAAGGTGTACTTACATCATGAAGACAAAACACTCATATACATAAAATAAAAATAAATAAAATATTTTTAAACAGAATCCTGAATATAGAATAAGCACTTTCATGAAATGCTTTGATTCCCTTACATGTAATAATATATGTCTTCTAGGTCATTAAGTAACATTTCTTTTGGACTATAGTTTAAAAAGCTTAAGGCCAATGGATTATTTCACATAACACAACAAAACTGGAGAAAACTCGGGAGTACTTCTATAAATCAAAATTACAGGGAGTTCATAGAGTATAAGAAAATAATGTCTTTTACTGAGCTATTCTCTTACTATCAAGTGTCAAACTGCTCACAAACAGGAAAAACTGCCAGACACAGACACAACAAATATACCAATTTGGATGAATTATAGTTACTGAGATAAAAATTATAACACTATTCTATGTTAATAGATCATATAGAACATAAGACTTTTGTCACATAATAGAGATAAATAACTTAAGCAAACATCTAAAAAACAAGATCTAAACAACACTCACGTTCCATTTCAAATTGCCACCTAAGCACTCCATAGTCTATGCCGCTATGTACCAATTCTAGTTTTCTGTTCTACTTTGAATTTGAAAGAGCAAAATTGATCTAAAATTATCTATCACTTCAGAGGGAGAAAAAAAAACCTTTTATCTAATAACATATCAACACTAAAATTAGATGCAAAAATACTTCTTACTAAGAATATGGTCAGTGGGGGTCGAGATGGCTCAGTAAGAGCATTTGCTGCTCTTGCAGAGGATCTGGATTCAGTCCCAAGGGATCTAACACCTTTTTCTGGCCTCCACAAGCACTACATGCAAGTGGTACACTTACATATATGCAGGCAAAACACACACATAGAATTTTAAAAGAAAGAAAAATAAACAGATTAATTTGATGTAATAAGTCAATGTACCAAAACTGTTATTTTTTAAAAAAATAATAAAATTCAATAAAATAGTCAAAACCTCATTGCAAAAATGTTATGAAGGAGTTCAGGTTTCTTTTTTGTACAAGTTTCAGTCTCCAAGGGACTTTATTCTGATCACTCTAAAACTCAAAATTCAGATACAATCTATTCTATAGCTGAACTATTTCTATCTCTCTTTCAAAAGATTTATTTATTTTTATTTTATGTGTATGTATGTATTGCCTACATGTAGGTAAGTACACCCGTATCATGCAATGCCTGTAGAGGTCAGAAGAGGCTGTTGGATCCCCTGGGACTGGAGTTACGGACAGCTGTTAGCTGCCATGTGGGTGCTGGGATTCAAATCCAGGTCTTCTGCAAGAACAATCCGTGTTCTTAACTGATGAGCCATCTCTCCAGTCCGATTGATTCTTTTTTTAAAAAATTCCTTCAAAATAGCCAGTAATTCCCGTTGGCCTACCCTAGTCCAGATGATAATGACTGGTATACTAGTACTGATTATTCTTTTTTTTTTTTTTTTTTTTTTTTTTGAGACAAGGTCTCACTAAATTTACAGCCCAGGCTGGCCATGAACCTAAGATCCTTCCACCTCAGTCTCCTAAAGGCTGTAATTTTATAGGCACATGTCATGACACCCAGTCTAATATTGATTATTCTTAATTATTTCACTATCTGCTATGCCCAATCTTCAAAATCACCCTAGTAAATAGGTCTCATTTTCTACAATCATATAGGGGAGTAAACTAAAGCTTGGAGGGTTAATTAAATTGCCCAAGGTCAGGCAACTAGTAAGTGTGAGAGCTACAAACTGAATCCTGTTTTGTCTGACACTGGAGCCATGATGCTTCTAATCACATAGACCTACTGCTGCCATGAAATAGTTGCTTTGAAGAAAATCAGAAACAGCTAAACTACCCGAATTTGAACAACAAATAGGTGAAAATATTGGCCTCTTGTTCTTTAATAATATTAATTTCTAAACTGATGATTTAGGTTCTTTAGACTTTTAAAACACTTGTGATCAGAATGCAAAATAAACTTCAGCAGAAAATTAGCTTATAAAGAAAATAAAATCTTATGGCCAACCTATTTAAATAAAAGCAAAATAGGATTACATTCCTAACAACAAAATAGAACTACATCCTCCATATAAACTTTTTAAATTTATATGCAGCCATAAAATAAAAATAGAATAAAACCCCTATTTACCTCTTACTTGGAGAGGGTCTTGCTTAAGTGGAGCTTTGAGTTCCGCACCTATGGTTTCTGCTGCAAAGTTTATTAAATATGTTTAGATTAAAGAGCTGCTTTCAAACAAACATCTAACTTAACAGTAGTCTATTTAATCAAGCAATGTATAAAAATGTTTATATCACAAATTATCTGATTCATCATAAAAAATAAGGGTAGTTAAACTTTATAAAAGTCAATTATTTCCATTAATGAATTAAAGGAAACTATAAAATCATTTCAAGAACTAAAGACAAAGCATTTAATAAAACTCAGCATCTATGCAAATGCGAAAGTCTTTCAGAAAATGAAAAAAGGATTTGCTTTAAAAGGTAAAAGAAACTTAAGACATTCATTGTATTGAATGGTGGCTGTTTAGATGCATTTTAAACACAAAAACAAAGATGCATAGAGTTATTCCACTTACAACTATTTTAGAGACAATATTCAAAGAAGAAAAGATGACTATTAAGTTGCATTGAGACAACTGTACTTCCATTCATTCCCCCTGAGAAACACTTAAGGTAAAAGATAAAAATAAATTGGAACCTACTTTCCATTATAATCAAAAGAAATAACCGGGTAAATTAATTGCTTAAATATTAATACCTCATTGTGGACCATATAAAATACTGTTATGAAAAGACAGATTTCAGCCTCTTAAGTGATAGAATTAGAGATAGAATTATACCACTGTGCCCATCAAGAATGATTTTGTAGGCAGACTATAAACAGCACAAGGGAGGAAAATGGGTAAATTCTACTAAATTAAAATTCAGAACATCTACTCACCAAGAAGCCCATTAAAAAAGGAGCAAGGGGGCTGGAAGGATAGCGCAGCCGTTAACTCTAAGGCTAACAACCAAAAGTAAAAAAGGAGCAAGGGCTAGAGAGATGGCTCAGCAGTTAATCTTAGGAGGAGCGGAATTCAGGTCCCTGAATCCACAATCAGGCAGCTCACAAGCACCTGCAACTCCAGCTCCACTTGGAACTGATCTGAAATGTTTTGGTTCTGAAGGTACCTGGCATGCGCGCGCGCGCACGCACGCACGCGCACACAAACACGAATAATAAAATAAATCTTTAAAAAAGAAGAAAATACTCAAATTGGGAGATGTTTCCAACAAATAGAATCAACAAAGTATTATTGAAAACACCTTTAAAATTTCTCCAGATCAGAAAGAAAATGTGCATTAAAACGAGCATTAGAACAAGCTTACATAGAAAAAGAAATGCATATTTCCAATAGATATAAGAAAAGGTGACTATTTCATTAACGGAATCCAAATGAAACAAAAGAATGCTGTTTTACAAACTTTAGAGTAGGAAAAATGAGAAACGACAGCACAGGATTTTAGTCAAGTAACGGAACCATGGAGATACATGCACTGCTGATGGAAACAGGCACGATTACCTATTATCTAACATGGTGAACAGAAATATAACTTCTGGCCCAGTAATTCTTCTAGGTCAGTCAATCCAGCTTCATGAAACCCTTCTACAAGGGCATAAGAAGAGAGGTAATGGATGTTCAGAGAAGCACTCTGTTCTCTTTTAAAAACTAGAAACAACTCAAATGTCCATCAGCAAGAGAACAGACACTGTGTTTGAGTCATTCATCATCATTTCATTAGGCAGTGAATGACAGACATAATAACAGCTATCTTTCTTTAAGTCTTTACTGCACGCCAAATACTACTACAAGCACTTCGTGTACCAACTCATTTAATTCACGTAACAGCGCTCAACAATACGTGCTATAATTATCTCTATAAAAATTACTGAACCAGACAAATATATCAATAATCAGGGTAAATCTTAGCAACAAAACGTAATGAAACAGAAAAATCACAAAAGAAAACACTCTAAGCTATCACAACAGAATTCAAAAACAGACACAACTAAATAATTAGGCATACACAAACATGCAAATTTAGTCTCCCCCCACCCTTTTAAACCAAGGGGGCCTGAAAGGGGGAGCTTCAGGACCATGACGTGGATACATATGGCAAATGAAGATGAGAGGAGGTTGTTATCAAGGAGAAAAAGTTCTTAGACTTAAGAGGTAAATTCCAAGATACCAATTTTACTTTCTAACTTAAGAATATTACAGTGTATATACACCAAACATTTTACAATGTAAAGCTCACCCTTAAAAACATTTTCCCTTATTAGAATTTATGATCTCACTCAATAATAACAGAATTTCAGATTTCAAAAAAATATTTTATTTTTATTTTATGTGTATGAGTGTATTGCCTGCATGTATGTAAGTGTACCCGTGTCATACAATGCCCTCAGAGGTCAGAAGAGGGCATCAGATCCCCTGAAACTGGAGTTATGGACAGTTGTTAGCCCCCACGTGGGTGCTAGGAATGAAACCCAGGTCCTCTGAAAGAGCAGCCAGTGCTCTTAACCACTGAGCTATCTCTCGAGGCCCAGAATTTCAGATTTTTTTTTTTTTTTTTTTTGGTCTTTTTGAGACAGGGTCTCCTTGTAGTCCCAGCTGAGCTGAACTCACTACATAGACCAGGCTGGCCTTGAACTCACAAGGATCCGCCTGCCTCTGCCTGGGATTAAAGGGGTGTGCCACCACACCCAGCTCAGAATTTCAGATTTTAACCAAGTCTCAGTCATAGCTAACCTTTACTTAGCACTTAATGTGTGCCACCTATTATCTGATGTACTTATGTGTATTACTGCATTTAATCTCCACAAAATCACTTGGACATGGGTACTAGTATCATTATTTTATAAAGAAATTGAGGCACAGGAAGGCTATAATATCCCCAAAGTCACATAACTCGAATTTCCTTTTTATGAAAAAACAGGCACAAGATGGTCTTGAAACTCCATACAGCTGGCATTTTAAACATGGAAGCAGGGTTAAAACCTAAGGTATTTTGTTTAATGTGATATGCTGTTAACTGTTTTCCTATGTTGCCTTCATACTTAAAATAGTATCTGGTTGATAAGTAAACATTTGTGTATTTTTCATTAGGGAAAAAGGAGAGGCTCAAAGTGAATAGTGAGTGAATAGCAACATGAAGACCACGGGAACAGCGTGACAAGAGCAGTTTCTGAGAAAGAATTAGGAGGGAGGCAATGGGAGATGTGAGTACTGAGACAGAACACCTTCTGGGCTGTCAGCTGAAACAGGAGAGGAGAATGGAATCAAGGAAGGGTTGACTCTATTTCTCAGAGGGAAAAACTGCTGGTGCAGTGGATTAAGAAGATAATCACAGCCAGGTGTGGCAGCACACATCTTTAATACCAGGACTCAGGAAACAGAGACAGGTGGATCTCTGTGAATTTGAGGCCAGCCTGGTCTACATATCAAATTCCAGGCCAGCCAGTGCCACCTAGTGAGACTGTCTCAAAAAATAAAAATTAAAATAATTACAAGAACAAAGCTCTTGAGCAGATAAGATATAGAGTCCAGAATACAAAGGAAACCTGTTTCTACCTCTGCAACATGAGCATGTTTAAATGATGTGCAACATCATTAAATATCACCATTTGATTACAGTACATTTGGCTTTTTACCTCCTTACTTCAGTTTCCAGCTTACTGTCCACTTTTTCTGCTTTCATTTTCATTTCACATTTCCTGCCATCTGTTGGATTCAACCAATTTTCCATATGCTTCTCCCATCCTACCCCCAACTGTTGGCTTGAAATCTATAAAATTATATTTATATTCCTCAACTTAGTATGCATATTATATTTTCCTATAAATCTTTCTAACAATCTGTGAAGTCAGTCAGTAACTCTACTTTCCTTTAGAATAAGAAAAAACTTTTTTTAAGAAAAAAGTCTCACAATGCAGCCCTGGCTGGCCTGGACAACTCACTATAAACCAGGCTGGACTCAAACTCATGGAAATTTGCCTGCCTTTGCTTCCAGAGTGCTAGATTAAAGGCATGAGCCACCACGCCAGGCCTTGTTTCATTTTTTTTTTTTAAACTTTTATTATTTCTTATTTTATAAGTATGAGTGTATTGCCTGCATGTATGTAAGTACACCTATGTCCTACAATGCCCACAGGTCAGAAGAGGGTGTTGGATCCCCTGGAATTGAAGCCACGAACAACTACTAGCTGCAATGTGGGTAATGGGATTCAAACCTGGGTCCTATGCAAGAGCAGCCAGTGTTCCCAACTGCTGAGCTATCTCTCCAGCCCACCTTGTTTTGGTTTAAGACAGGGTCTTGCTATATAGCTTTGGCTGCCCTGAACTAACTTGCTTGCTATGTACACCAGGCTGGCCTTGAACTTGAATCAATGCTATCTTTGCTTCCCAAGTGCTGGAATTACAGGCATGTACCAAACATACCAACTAGTTCAAAATGTACTTTTAATTGAAGAATCTTGTTTGTCTCAAATTCTTCAGAGTTCCTCTCCATTATCTCTTTTAAATGTATGTGTAGGATGTGTGTGATGTGTAAATGCATTTATTTGTGCATGTTTGTGGGCACATGCAATGAACTTATGCCATGTGGAGGTCAGAGGACAATCTCTAGTATCAGGCCTTGCCTTCCACCTTTGAGATTGTTTGCCACCACATACACCAGGCTAGCTGGCCTGTTAGCTCCCAGGGTTCTCCTGTCTCCACTTCCTGTAGGTATGCTGGGATTACAGATCCACTACATCTGGCTTGATGTGTGTTCTGGAGATCCAAACTTCAGCCCTCACACTTGGTGGCAAGTACTTTAGCCACTGAGCCATCTCCTCAGCTCTCCATTTTTCTCTTTATACATTTCTTCACTATTTCTCTACCTCTCTCTCTGAAATGCCTATTAAATATAAGCTTGAGCTTCATGTAGTTTTTTAGATTTATTCTACCTATCTACCAATCTATCTACCTACCTACCTATCATCTATCAATCATCTGTGTATGTGTATGCATATGTTAATGTGTGTGCATGGGGGAGGTTGTTCCTATACCAACGTTACAATTACCTGGAAAAAAAAAAAAAAAAAAAAGCCTGACTCTTAAAGACTGGGCCCAAACTGAGGACACTCATTTCCTGGATAGC